TTAATGAACAGTTTATGAATCATTGCGTTATAAATGGCATAACTCCAGAGAGAGAGAGAGAGAGAGAGAGAATGGAGGAGCACAAGGCTGTTAATGTCTTTTGCAGAGCTCTTAATGTTCATTACGACCTTCGGCTGCGGACTCAGGCATATCAGGTATATATTGACGAATATTCAGTATATTTGATCCGACACTCGCTTATTGCATACACTATTGAACTAATCGACTATATCTATAATATAATATGCAATTACGGCAATAATAGACAGCATTAATACCGGTAGAATATAAATGTGGAAAACAGTATTTTAAATGTCCACAAAAACACAGTGCCATTATTATTGTAACACTGGTTAATAGGGCATAACAAATGTACGGTACACTATATCAGTACACTGTCTACGGTTTACGCACAATAAGGCTATTGAGTTGGCAGAGCTATAAGTCGCCATCAAATGACAACTTCCTCTTGATTTGTGCTAAAAGTGTGGAAAATCCAGAAAACTCTAACCAAAAGACTTTTGTACTAAAAGGTAACACTAATGGTAAACGGCGTTCAACTAACACATGGAAAAAATTGAAAGTTTTCTCAACGAAATAATTCTTAGTATTTTTCAATTTAGTTAAAAAATTCATGACATAAAAGTTTGGCTCAAAGTTTTTTCTCTCAAACAAAAAACAATTTCTCCTCCTTTGACACTAACAATATAACAATAGTATTCACTGTAAGAATAGGTACTCTCTATATCTTTCGCTTCCAAAGCGGCAAAAAATATTATTTATAAAACTTTTTTTCTCTTTTACAATACTCTTAGTTTGGTATAGACCTCAAGGACAGTGAATTTGATCTTGAGTTTGGATTTTTACAATTAAATATTTTTGATTTTATTCCTCATTCAGAGAACACACGCTAAACGCATTAAACGATAGAAAAATCTTTTTTCAATAAAACAAATGCAAAACAAAGATTAGCGATCCATTCAAAGCGCTTACGTATGGCATGCAAATAGGCATTACTTTACCATAACTCATGTGAATATGAATTCATTCTCACTTCACTATTCTCTCTCTCTCTCTCTAATGTGTTCGCATACATACATATATATATTGTGGTGTGTGTTCTGGTGCTGTTGTTATAGCCTTTGGCTCAATTCTCTTAGACGCCATCATCATAACCGCCATCCAAGTCATTATCATTACTATTCGATGTAAAAAATAAGATTCAGGTTTCCTCCCATTTCAGAGCATGTTTTCCTTGGTTTACACACAATATCTCTACAATATATACGGTGTGTATATATTCGGCACAAACACACGTATCTGTGCTCTTGGCTCAGGCTATAAGGCCATCCTGTCTGATACCGGTTTCACTTTTTTTGCTGGTTTTATATGTTTCCAATTTTTAACAAATAAATATATACATGTATTTATATATTCTCTACATATCTATATATTAATGGAGAATATGTAACAAAAATAACGCAAAATAATACAAATTGAGTGAAATTAAGAAAATTTGAATAACAATAGTTTGCAGTAATTTGTCAACAAATGGATGCTTTGATTTTATCTTCCCTTTCACTGCTAATTGCTTTTCAGAGGCACACCATATATGAGATGAATGTTATACACAATATATAGCACTTCATAAATATTAGAGCTTTTGCAGAATATTTCAAAAGAAATATTATTATCATATTATAGTCATTAATAAGTTATATATTATATACCATTTTTTGTTTAATTGTTCATTTTATACACTAAACGGCTCTGTATTTAAACAATTAATACTCATTTACAATGTATTAATTTAATCATTAATATGAGAAAAAGTTTCATAATTAAGATAAATATTCGATTAGTTTTCAATGTATAGCCCTTTTGGACGATGTGTTCACTTAATTATAAGCGCATTGTTTTATCAAATTTATTGAGATTTTAATACTTTAATTAATTCATTCAAACCCAATGCAGAGATGTTTTCATTTAATTATCAATAAGTCATATGTTTGCCAACAAATCATTTATTAGCTAAAAATTGTTGCATTTGTTGAGCTCTAAATTAAATTCAGTTAAAATATATTCACACAAATAATAGTAACTCTAATATCTAAATAAAGTATACATGAAATATAGTGAATGTACTTTTATATTATAAATTTCATGACTTAAAACTTTTCAAATATTCAATTCAAAGAAGTATTCATGAAAATTAAATTTTGCTTTTATTTATTTTTTCCATTACTTTTAACTCGTATTGTTTAAGGGGTTTATTATTGAAACGGCCTTTCATTAGGAATCCATTGAAAACAAAACAAATTTCATTCAAAGCGAGAAATTATTCATTGTTTTGATTTTTATACTAAAAACGTTATAGTTTTATATTATTATTATTCAAATGAGATGTTTATATAATTTACTATAAATTCAAATACAATGATAAATGAATTTAATATAAAATTTATTTGTTTTTGCCATATATTAGGTGAAGATATGGTTTCAGAACAGACGGAGTAAATACAAGAAGATGTTGAAAGCGGCGCAAACGGGCGGTTCGGGTCCTCCTGGGGGTCAGAGCGGCAATTCTCAGGGCGGCCCCGGAAACTCATCGGCCACTTCGGGCAATTCATTGGGACCGCCGACGGCCGCCTCCACACCGCAAACACCTCCCGAGACACCGGAGACAAATTCGCCGCCGAGTGTGGGTCCGCCACCGCTACTGCCTGTGGGACCGGGAGGGGCTCAGCCCGGAAGTAACTCATCGATCGCTACGGCGGTCAGTCCGCCAGCGATGAGTCCGCCCATCACGGCCTGGGATATGGGCTCCGCGAAGGCGGCCGCCGCCATGAGTAACAGTTATATGCCTCAGTACTCGTGGTATCACCACCAACACGACCCCTCTATGAACCAACAATTGCTTACATAACCAACAAATGTTCATTAATATAAATTTAATTGAGAAAAAAATACATACAAAACAAAAAACTCTTATATTAAATATATTGATCTGATCTGTGATTCAAGCGTTGAATTACTTGATTATATTCTATCACTCATTCAAACTAAACACTGTTCACAATCGCCCGGACTATACATTGTATACATATTGTTAAGCGACAGAAACAACACCACACGTGAGGCCACTCCGGGAAACGACCAAAAAAGAGGAAACATTTTATGGCAGTTATGGTTCTGTCAGTTCCGACAGGTCTGTCATTACTGTCCACCAGTACTCCCAATAATACTCTCAATTCAATAGTGCTGTTCAGCGCTGGCGCCTGTTCTATGAGTGCGAGCCCTCAAAACATTTAGTTATAAATTGTCTTTTCAACTCAATATATCCTTTTGTATAAAATAAATCTCTGTATATAATAATATTATTATTAATAATAAATTAATTCGTGTTTCATTCAAAATATTATCATTCATTCAATAAATAAAGAAAGTTTTGAAACCAAAGTATTTATTATTATTTTTTGATTCCATATATTGTACATCATATGTACAAATGGATTATAATTACAATTACAATATGTTATATAAAAATACAGTAATTTAGATAACATAATAGCCTTAATATAATTCTGTCAGTTTTGTCTTTATATATGAGAGAAAATACAATTTCTTTTTCTCAGTAATGATGACCACAATTACAAATAAAGTCATAAAATACAATATTTGAGATTAAATAGCTTATTAAGATCTATATGACTGTCTTCTATATAATTTTCAATAATTAGTTTTTTTCTGCTATCATTTACTACAAGTTATGTAAGCATTCCTTTATATTTAGAATTACACATTCTGTCACTAAATGTGTAATACAATCACAATATAGGCATTTTGCGACTATTCAATCATATAATGTATGATATACTGTATACTACATTTGAATACAGTATGTAATGTAAAGTATTAAAACATTATATTATATTCTTTACATTAACTTATATTAAAAGTATTAATAATATGTTGATATAACAATTGCCTAATGTTAAAATGAGTATAAAGAGTGCAAATGTAAATTTGGTGTTATATTCTATATATTATAAAACATGTATATAATATTTGGTAATTTAAGAAATAAATTTAAATTTTTAATTTAATATTTTTATAATTTCACAGAATTAAGAGTAATTTGTATTTTGGACTCTTATGAGGAAATTGTTGCAAAATATTATAGAATTTTTTTGTTGTGCATTTAATAAGTTATATTTCTTTCATTTTTGTTTTAATATCTATAAATTTTATGTCATAAATATATTTCAATTAATAATATTATAGAGAATAACCTATTTTATAATAATCTAATCTTATGAACAGATTTAATCAAAAATAGCAAAAATAATATTTTTATACTTTTTTTAAGGAAACCGACAGAATATTTATTATAAAAGAAAAATTTGCAATTATTTAATGTTAAAATTTTATTTTACTTGCAATAATATGATTAAAGGTGTCATACTTATATTTACTAATTCACGACTAAAATTATCATCATAGTTACTTACATTAACATTGTTAACAAATAGTAGCGAAAGTGTTATAATTATTCACTGACTTCGGCTATGCGTTGCTTTTGTGTTGAGGTTTATTAGCGTTAAAAAATGTTTCTAAAACAATAATTAAGTAAAAAATCATAAATAATGTGTACAATAATTATATATAACTGTAAGTCAAATAGACATTACTGTTAAGAGAAATGATCAGTAAAATGATGATGTGATCGACTCATGGACTGCAAGCGTGAGTGCAGGACATGAAGAACTGCTGTTCATCACTGATTCAAAACAGAAAGAAAGAAAGAAAGAGAGGGAGAGAGAGAGAATAGTTGTATAATTCTAGTGTTGTCTCTATAATAATAGTGCCTTAATATTATAGTTTCTTTAATTTGTAGTTATATTGTATGGAATTGCTCTCAAAATGAGTCAAATTATGTTAATTATTTGAAAGAGAAGGTCTCGTATTGATAGCGAAGGACCTGTTATTTAGTATGAGTTAAAGCAGTGCAGAGCAGTTAACAGTGTTGTATGCATTGGTTTGGCCACAACTCGCACATCAGGTATATCTAGTGAAATGATTGCCATCACAAGCAAAAAATACTCTTCAATTTATTTGATCATTGGTTTGTTGTGAGAGGAGAGCAGAGCATCGATACCTTCAATTCATCCACACGTCGTCTCGTGTTTATATAAATGGTACACATTTTTAGTCACAATTTCACTCTCTATTCAAATGGTTGTCATCTCATCGCTGGACAACTCGTCTCTCATATAAGGAGTGAGTATTTGATTGTTAAGTCATTTGCATAGAAAGAGTGCTCTCTTTTTTTTGAATGCCGTTCGCTATTGTGTTAAATGTTAAGCTAAAACCCTCTCATTTGTCTTATTCTCCACTCTTTTATTCACAAAAACTAATATTTTTGTTTGCAATCAATAATACAGTCATTGTTTAGTTTTGCTTTCTTCGGAAAAAGTATTTTTGAAAAGGTTTTCGGAAAATAAGTTTAGCGAAGGCTTTGAAGTAGTAGTGAAGGGAAAGGAGGGCTAAGAGGGCGCGTGCAGTGCGATGTCGTATTGACTTTTGCAGGCCTTTAGAGCTGGTCGGAGCGCATGTGAATGGGTGGGGTCGGACACTACGGGGTTCCTCTCATACTCTCATACATGTATGCCGTATGTATGGACGGCTTCGCACATCACATATCAGTCAAAAAAGAGAGCGTAAACTTTAAGCTCTCACTAACGCCAGCACTAGTACTGCAATATTGAAAAGATTCCCAAAACATGTCTCAATTGTGGGCTGAAATGGGAAATAGAAAAATAATTCATTCATTCATTCATTTTGTGGATAGTTTTTTGCAGAGCGTATGCAGTGATAGGGCTATAAAAAAGAGTGATCCATACAATCTGCACGTGTAGCCAAAGCTCATGGTGGGTATAATGCGGGCACACACTCGCAGAGAGAGAGAGAGAGAGAGAGAGAGAGANTTCATTAAAACTATTGATTAATACAGGTTTACATTCAACTTAGAAAAGTATATTTGATTTGATAGTAGTCTCCATATTATAGTTATAAAATAGTTGTTTTCATTAATAAACATATAAATACCGTATATTTATTGAATATCAATATTTTATGCAATTTTCACATTATATTTATAGAGTAAAAAATAAAGACTTGTTTTTAAACTTTAAAATTAATTTATTTAGTTAATTTAATTACAAGTTTATAAAACATAACCATTTATATTAAAAACACATTGAATAACATTTAGATACCAATTGTGTTTACATTTGGAAAATATATAAAAATAAGAAAATAAATTAGTTATTTAAATAGACATTAGTTGAAAATTATTTATATTCAGTCTATAAAATAATATATAATATGAGTTGATATGTAAGGAAATTTTGCGACAACTCTGTTGTCAAATATAATACTAATTCTTTCAACAAAAAAGTTTACATAATGTAAGCGAATGTCGTTTTTATCAAAGAAAATGTTTTTTTTTAAAGAAATTGTCTTTTTTATCAAATGAAATAATTGAATGCAATTCGTATTGAAATGAACACAAAAAAGTGAAAGTAGAACATTATATACAAGGGATTGTTGTTCAGTACACTATACACATGTATGTCTGTATACTGTAATATGTTTGAGAGCACCTCAACACACCTGAACACTCAACTCAACTCATGTTTTTTGTCTTTTCCTGATAAAAGTGTCGCATTTTGGCTACGGTTATGGGTATTGGACTACAAACGCAGTGAAAAGTTTTCCGAAACGCTAACGAATTGATAGACAAAAAATGTTGAGATTTGCTATGAAAAGAAAGGCAACGATTTTTGATTGTTATTTTCACTTAACTATTGTTTATTTATTGATGTATTGGTGCCCTAACTTGAAGTCTACCTCAAAGTCTTAATGCTGTGTTTGACTGTAAAATTAAGTCAATCGTATCGACACTAGTATTGCATGCATTTTCTTCCCTGTTGTCAGTGTTGTTGTTGTTTATGTTGTGTTCACTGAAAAAAAACACAAGAATAACCGCTGACTCGGAACCGACGGCTGACCCAATTGTGATCTGCATGTTATTAGTTAACCATTTGATTGAAATAAATAGAAACTATAAGCGCATTGAGTATTGAAGACATGGTATATCTGTTTTGAATGTTGTGTTCATTTTGAACAAACTTATCAAATATAGATCTAAAGTGTTTGCAATGCGAGCGATGGATGCAATCATAGCATCTATTCGTGTAATGCATTCGTTGTGCACACAATCAAAAACACGAACAGATTATGAGATTTAAATTGACTCCAATTTATCCTCTCTTTTCACTCTTTTGTCATTTATAGCGAGTTTATGAACGTATGTATAGATGTGTTGTCTATTTCATGTCTGTCTTCTGATGCCCGTATGAGCAGTAGTCTCTCTCTCTCTCTCTCTCTCTCTCTCTCAATGAAAACAGTATTAAATTAGTACAACTATAAAATGTTACAAATAATCTGATCTCTCTCTCTCTCTCTCTCTCTCTCTCTCTCTCGGAGTGTAACCCTGGTATTGTTGGTACGGGTAATGATAGGGCGCTCGATTGACACTCATATGGATTGTTTGCAACGATGCGAAGAGAATTAACAATTTTATGGACACCAAAACATGGACTCTTCGGCTACAGTATGAAAGGCATCGATATCTGTCTTAGTTATAAGCGCTGGAAGTCTAGCAGAATATGATGCTTGAGTTTGACTTTGCTCTCTACTCTATACTCATCACTGGAGCACTGGGAGGGTGTGTCGGCAACAGTCACTTCACGTACCAAATGTATGATTTAGCGAAATGTAGTCAATGGCGAAATGGTGTTACAGAGAGCGCTAAAAGACATTTCAGGCTTAACTGAGGCTCGGATTCGCATTTTAGAGATGACTGAATCATATAATAGTAGGTTTGACTCGAGCTTATGCTTCCAGACTTACATTACTTCCATTAGGCATTAGTACTCACATCCCCTTTCAGTTACAAGAATTGCCAAAAAGGGTTTCCATATGCCATCACAACCAACGCTACCACTGTATATATACAGTGCATTTCATGTACACAGCCTTACAGTGCTTACAGTCCACTCATATACAGCACTCATATATAGAGCTGTGCTCTCGTTCGCCACGAATTACAGAATAGCTTCAAGAATATGTGTCTACAGTATATCAGTATATGCTATAGAATAAAGAGTAGGTTTAGCGAGAAAAAAGTATAACTGACTTATAGAGAGAAATGATGGTCTGATTGAAGCCCTCCTGCACTTCAATAAACATATTGATGAGACAGAGAGTGAGAGACAGTGAACGGGAGAAAGAGAGAGGCAGAGGGAAGACACAAACAAAGTTTGCCGAAATGGTGCAAAAGGAGCTCACTTT